GCTGCGTTTCTTTTCTTTTGGGGATTACCTGATAGAGGTCTTAAAAGTTGTGTCAGGGTTTGATAAGATAAATGTGAATTAGAAGTTACTTGTGCAGAAGACCAAAACCAGGGTCCAGAAATGAAATAATCAATAATGAATTAAATATGAATTTTTTACGCACAGAATTATTCGAATATGAAACTCATTACCGTGTGGAGAAGCTGAAGTAAATAGCAATGGCACATTTAAGAAGAAGTTAGATAATCATGAGGGACGAAGGAAGAGAAGGTAGTACTGATAATGTGAAAAGACACCCATGTGGAGTGCAAATACTGGCAAGGACCACTTGAGCTGAATGGCTTTTTTTCTGTGAAGTGCATCCTCTGTAATCTTGATATTAAGATAAGGTGCAGGGAAAAACAGCAACGTATAAGACGCTGAAGCAGCCACAATAATTTTTGACTTCAGTTCTACACAAACAACACTCCAACCCCAAAGGTTAACCTGAATTCCACCCTTCGCACTGCAGGTGGAAAGTTATGAGTTAAGCTTAAGCAGTGTTACAGCTTTCTTTTTTTTGTGTGTATTTGTGTTTTGAGCTTGACCTCCACTCATAACAATATAAGTAGCTAGTTTCATGTCATCTCTTTATCAACATTCTGCTGTTCCCACATTGGTGATTGTATTTTGCATCACTCAATTATCAACTTTAGCTATGATAAACTATCCAGAACTGACTCTTCTGATGTCCCAGTAGATAAAGCTGACGTTAAACAAAGCGAAACTGACACGAAGGTTGATTTATTAAGTTTGGACAGCAACAGAGGCGCAACAATTAGCCTCAACACCCACATCAGGAGGGAAATATTAGCATCTGTCTATGCTGGCCATAAATATTCTGTGAACTTTAGACAATGACAAGAGTTTGTGGTGGCTGTCTCAGTCAAATAGCTTGCTGACATTCACTGGGCTGGGCTCATGTGTTAAAATAAAACTGACCTCTGGTACATCATAACAAGAGATGAACAAAGGACAACCACTGTCCTTAAAAGAATTTTAAACTTTAAAAATAGTTTTCTTTCTTTTTTTAAAAATGGGATAGTTAATACAGTAATTGTGGTACTTCACATTGCAGCAGTCAGTGAAACTTGCATTATAGTGGAAGTCTTGATAATCAGGGTTTATCTTACTTGCACTGGCATATCCATCCCAGTATGTAGATTAAAGCCACTGGGGGTCAATTGTTAATGTTTTACATGCTTTTTATTGACTGGTATTCTAATTGTTCTGAGTAGCTGAAATTACTTGGAGAATATTGAATATCTGGAAGTGATTACTGATTGAGGGGTGCACTTGATTTACATCACAAGGATAAATGGATACATGGGATTAATTGCAAGTCAGTAATGTAACCTCAACCTTCAATTTATATGGAGGATGAAAGACCCGGAATTCATTATTATGTAATCTAATCTGAGGTTTCAACTGTGTAAACAATAAATGCTGCTTTTGATTGGTGCGTAACTATCTATGGAACCCCAAGTTTAGATTCCCTTCTATCAAAGTGATTCGTTGGATTCTCTTTTAATAAATGCATCATACCATACAGATTTTTTTCTCAGTTTTTCTTCCCTCCTTTCCTGACTGGCATATGGCTTAATCAAAATTCATGCCCAACCTGGTACTTCACCAGAGACCACTGTGTAATCAAGAAATCTATTAAATATTGAGTTGGGTCTTAAGGCAAATCGTATCTGTCAAGAAGTTGGCTTTGACACTTGTGTATTTATTTTGGCCAATTTTATACAAAGTTTGCCTCTGCTATGACATGATAGTATTGATAATATAGTTCAAGGAAAGTTTTTTTTCCTTTGCCTCTGCCATTCAGGTTGTGGTCCCCCTGTAGACCTCCATCCCTCCACCTCTACACGCACGCGCACACATGTACACCGTTTCCTTGGTTGGATGTTGCCAGAACTAAATTTTTGCTTTGGTCTATCTCTCGAGAATTACCAGTTATAGTGCCCATGCTAGAGATAGCTCCTATGCAAGCATGTTTTCATTCCTAGTATTTGTAATTAACCTGTTCAGTTGTGTTATGACGCTCCTCAGCATCAGGTGGGACTTGAACCCAGACCTCCTGACTCAGAGGCAGGGGGACACTGCCACTGCACACAAGAGCCTTCATGTTTTCATAACACTTACACACAACTAAATATTTTTTCTCCCCATCCCCAAATTATCCATGTTATTTCATTTCATCTGTTAATGACTACCAGTAAATCACCTGTGCTCTCCAATGATTAATTTACATACAAAGCCCTTTGAGAGCAATGCAGACCACCAAAGGTGAGGAAAAAGTAGGGAGAGAAGGAGGGGTCTAAATCAAAATGTAGTTGGAAGGAGAATGATTTCATTCCTAGTGATTGTTCTTCACCTGTTGTATCGGACTAGCAACCTTCCATATGAAAGCTCTTGGTTTATAGCTTTCTCCCCATGTCTCCCAGAGGTGTTCATTTTTGCTAGGGTACAGTTCCCTGAGCATCAGCAGCCCCCCACTGCATCACTAGAATAAACCTTCTTCAATCGAGTTGAGATGGTAGTTGTTGACAGATTTGACCATAAAACACGGCCCCTACAGCATTGAGGGAATGCTGCACTTTGAAGTTTGCACTTGCTTCTGAAGGGCTCAGACTGCCCTCCCAGGTGAACGTAAAGGGCCCATGGATACTATTTCAACAAAGAAGCGGGGAGTTTGTCCCCAGTGTTCCAATCGATGTTTATCCTTCAATCGACATCATTTTTAAAAAACTGATTATCAGGTTGTATTCATATTGCTGTTTGTGAGACCTTTCTGTTTTTAAGTTAGCTGCTGTGTTTCTTTTATCACAACAGTGACTCCACATCAGACAGACTTAATTGGCTCTAAAGTGCTTTGGGATGTCCTTTATTTATGAAAGACATTATATAAGCACGTGTTCTTTCTTTAAATGCAAGTCTTTGTATTTAACATTTTTTTAGAAGCTAATTCCACAGTGGTTTTCTATCACTCCAACCCTGTTATTATGGCAAGCTGATATTAAACAAACATAAATTCCCATTTGAAGCTCATGAAACATACTCAGACACGCCGATCTGAAGCAAAGGCTGTGTGAGTGGCATCAAGTGTTGACCCCGATCCTTCATGGCTCCACTGGAAACAGATGAATGCTAACTGACTTTGCAAGTGGCACTGAGTGAGGCATTTGAAGGAATTTGACTTATTCAGGCTGTTCACCTTCCTAAAAGAGCAACTGTGCTCCTTGTTCATTTCGTCAGAACAAAAACAAAACAGTGGATCTTGTGACATCCAAGAAAAATTTGAAAATGTGGTTTATTTGGTAGACTTGATCTATGATGTAAACAAGTTTTCCCATTTAAACAGGAAATGTTCAACAGCGGCAATGATTGAAAAACTATAGCTTGAGATAGTGTCCCATGGTCACTGCTCCTGGTCACTATCCAGTGACCGCAGTGGGAAAGCGCATTTCTAGTTGGTGATTGAAACAGGTACTATATCAATATTTAAGAATTTATCCAGTTGGTGACTGATGGAAAGGGAAATAAAGAGATGTGAAAGTCAGTAGGCACTGACTAGGACTATTGCACATGCATAGGATAAACACCAACACGGGCTTTTTGGGCTGTATCACTTATTTACATATGATGTATAATTATGTGCACATGGACATGTTTGTTATTTACTTTAAAGCAGTATAGAGTGCTACTGCTCAGGATATAAGGGAAAGATCAGAGCTGTTGTGCAATGGTAGAGTCCTTACTTCTGGGCCTGAAGGTCGGTGTTCAAGTTCCTATCCTGAAGGCGTATCATAACATATCCAAACAGATAGATTAAAAATAACTACAAATGAAAGATGGTCTCTTGGATAAATTACCTTAGGCCTGTGGATGCCAATGAAACAGTACAGGAGACAATAGGTGAAGAAATGCAATACAGTGTTTGTAATGCATGTTACATTCAGAAAAATCTCTATGCTTTCACTCTGTGGTATTTCTGCAATCTCCTCCAGCCGTATATCTCAATAAAGTCCACTGATAATGGATTTATTATTTCTCCCTGCCTGTTTCACTGTTGGTGCAGAGCATTCGTAGATGTTGCACTGGAACTCTCCTGGCTTCATCTCTTTCCTGCTCCTAATAGGCTCCTTAAAATGACCTATTCTAACTCCTTGATTTATTCAAATCTTCGTGCTGAAATAAGCAAGAAAATTGTAGATTTCAAAGGTGGCCATGGATTGTGTCCCAATGTTATGAAGAGACTATTTTTCTACATCAAGGTTATTATTTTATGGATAAAATTCAATAGCAAAAAATATTTTATGGCTCTTTTGTGCTTATTATGGAGGTGGAGTTGGTGGGAACAGTCCCCAACTTGGCAACTCTGTGGTCAGCTGATGTGCTGTTGAAAACAGCTAGAGATCAGGATATTTCAACCCCTCCACGATATTACTTGTGTATAAGTTGAGCCCAACTTCTTTGGCTGAAGATTTTGTCAGAAACTTGACTTTTACACAAGTGCATACGGTATCCACTGCCTCGCCCTAACATCTATTTTGTACCAAATGCATTCGTTGTACTATTGCCCTGCTTCAGTCATGGGACCATTATAATTTAGTCTATAACTGTGACGCGGAGCTAGCAAATCCACATTACAATGTTAATTTCTCCTTGTCGGCCTCCAAATATTGGTTAAATTTTAATATTCCTTTAGCCCTTTTAAAATGGAACTGTGTTAAAATTGAAATTTTAAAACTCTGCTTTGCATTGAACTAGAGATTTGCTGCAGTAAGTATAATGGCAAAGCAATCTAAGTCTTTCTGATGGAGGTGGTATCTCATCTTGAATAGATGTCCAGTTTCAGTTAGCACCGTGTCCAAGCAACATCATACAAAATCTGTTGATAGGAGCTTAAAACCATTTCATAACCTGTTCAGTATAGTTGAGATCTTTTTTATATAACACAATTTAAGATTTGGAACACACTGTCTGAAAATATGATGGAAACCAATCTAACAACAGCTTTCAAAAATGGATTTGAATATAGATAATTGAGAACTGTTGAAGAGATGTGAAGAAAGAGCAGTAGACTAGAACCAGTTTAGGATCTCCAGAACAGGTTGAGTACCCTCTGTGCAATGTAATTTTGTAACCACTCAAAGCTTAGGATCTATGAGGCATTGTAATTCCCTGGGACACGAGCACTTTTACCCTGATGGTTTACCTGTTGTTTTCGCAGGTCACAAGGTATATTTGAGAACAAGAGGCAGGACCCCACAGGTCTGATTGCAGCACTGCAATCTACTGAGCTGGTGGGCGTTCTCAACATGCTTTACTGCATCCTCCTGCACGGTATAATCCCAGACCATAACACTTCAGCACCTGCAGAAACCTACCCACAGCACACCATTCACGTCGCAATCCAGAGTCTTCGCTTTCTTAACAGTTTTGCATTTTTGGACCTTCCCACTTTTCAGGTGAGATGAGTTTTGTTAGTTATGAATTGCAGGTCAAGAAAAATATTATTTCAGTACAAGAAACAATGATCATTTCTGTAGCTTGGATGTTTCCTCTTCATTAAGTCTCTGTGTATATCTGGAGTGGAAGAAGCTAATTGTTCTAGGAAAGTTCCAGAAATTAGATGAATCTGTGTATATAAACCATTAGGTGTTGTGCTGAACTGCGCATGTCAAACATGTTCAGTTTCATACTATACTACAGTAGCTGTTCTGCTAGTGACTTAGATCCTCTGATCAGCTTCCGTAACCATAAAGGAGCAAGGGGAAAAGTGCACAAATTGATGCATCTTGTATCACTCTTGCAGTAAAGTGCATTTGGTAGGTGTTTCAACCCTTCAACTCTGTTCACACAGATCTGGGTGATCTGTTCCTGAACTCCATTGACTCACCCTTGTTCCTAATTTGGATCCCTCTACTCATTCAAATAAATGCTTGAATGATTTAGTTGCTTTTCACTGAAGAAATCCTAACATTTCTTAGTGTAACCTATAACCACTTTGATAACGTGGAGATTTGAAAATGCTGCTCCTGTTCAATCTTTGGATAACAAAGTAGATATTACAGCTAGAGTTGGAACTCTGAGGAGGCCCAGGATCATCAAAGAGCAGGTGTCCTCTGTGTGCAAATATTCAAGACCTCTGCCTTCATGCTTTCATTAAGAATTAAACTTAGGGCACTGTGTCAAAGCACAGGGTGGATAGGAGCAATTAAAATGTGAGCCAATGCATTGAGTGAGTAATGAAGCTGCACTCTCCAACATTAAACATTGGATAATAAACAATTTGCATCAGAATTGTTATTTCATTACTTAGAGAGATTCCAAAATATAATTTTGTACCATTTCTCTTACAAAAATATCTTGCATAATCAGTCCAAAAAATGGTGCTAAAGGAATAAGATACCTGATGAATAAAAGGTTTTTTCCTTATTGTGTATAGCCACATTTGTGTCTTAACCAAGTTTCTGAAGTCCAGTAGGATGGCTGTTAGCCAATCTCTGCTGAGTTCCCTATGCCGCAGAAATCAACTTGAAAGAACATTGTTCTACTCCTCCTCCTCAAATCTGTTGAGCAACTTCCAGTTTTATATAGTACATCCTGCAAATTTTTGTTTGATGCTTCCTCATTACACCCAAACTGTATTTCATATTGATGCACAGTACTTCATTCACAGCATACCTGTCCTCTAGAATTCTGCAACAGAACCACTCTGTTTCATTATCTTCATCCTGCCTCCTGAAACCTTGTAAAATCTCTTCAACTTTGTCTGTCTCTACTTTGCCTTCCAAAATGTTCTCCCTGTATTGCTTTCTCCTTCTTTGTAGTGCTGTGCTTGTTTAGACACACTATGTTGTGCAAAAACTGTAATAGGGCCACTTGAGCCCTTGCAGCCTGCTATCAAATAAATGTAAAATTGCTACTACTCATTAAGATGGCTGACAGGAAGAATCATTTGTAGTATGTTTTCAACAGTAATATTTCAGTCTCAGTGAATCCTGACATCTTTATACTTGGCTTTTAGATGCAAAGAAGCATACTACTTTTTAAATGCACAGGTGACCTACAGTAATAATAAGGTGAACACCATCCACATCCCAAGAAATCCAGTGGTCCACACATTGCCTGCACACCACACATTTTCTCTTATAGAAAAATGTTACCTATTTCTGACTGTTTCAGTTACTTTCAGTTATGCCAAAATGTTTTTTTACTAGATTTATGTGTGTGGTATGATATGCAAGATACAGAGCATATGTTAACATAATACTTTTCTTCTATGGATAATATGTAGAGCAATGGTAACGGTGCTGGTGTATTTTACGTACTTATTGACTGTGTCAGCCCATACAGTTCCTTCTCTTCCACCTCAGTAGTCAGTCGTGCATCCACCTCTTCCCATGTTACCTTGATTTAACTATCACCCCCTTAAGAGGTTCCCTAACTTTTTGACAGTTCATTGAAACAGCTTCCCCAAATGTCCTCCTATTCTTGTTACCCACCTCCCCACCACTGCATTTTTGTGAAGCACTTTTGAAGGCTTGAAGTTTGAGCTTCTATAAAAGTGCACATTGTTGCTGTAGTAAATTGAATTAAAAAGAGAGTATTCCTTTTGAGTTAGTTATGAAATACCTACAAACTATTGAAGTATTGGTGTGGCACTGATTCATTTGTATCCAAAAAGCCCTGGCTTTATTCCTAGTCTTTGCTGAGATAGATGAGACAAATCAGAGGAGAACTATTGGCTTGAACACCTCTCAGCTGCAAAACATTGTCCATCAAGTTATTTTACCTAATTGTTTTTCGGTGGTTATTCTGTTGCTTTTGAGAGGTATCACACATGCAAGAATTTGGTGTAGACATAATTAAATGCAATTACGTTACTTGAATAGTAGCATACATATAAAGAATCACTACTCGGGAAGCTTTTGGATAGCAACCACTGCCCATAGAACCATACCCCAGCAAGAATTGGTGCTTTCAAAAGGTGGGAGGAGAATAGGAAAAATTAAGAGAGAAAAGAAAGAGCTTAACAGAAAAATAAAAGTTAACTAAGCAGATAAATAACAATCGTGCTTCTCTAATTGCCAAATTAAGATACTAAAGACATCAATGGATATGTGGATAGTGTAGGAAAACGGCTTTGAGGTAGAAAATCAGCCACAATATAGGTGTGTGACAGAATATGCTCAAGGGGTTGAATGGTCTGTTCCTTTTATTTCCTATGTTGCTATGTGTTGGTGTGGAATGTGTGTGGTTGAACTACTTATGAATCATTCACAAACATATACACAATACCTTATTCAGTTGGAATGGAGCTTGATTTAATCTTTCTTTATTCCCTCTCTCTGTCTTTCTATACATTACCCTTCTACACCCCCTTCTCAGTCGCTCATACTTTTTTTATTCTGATAGGCTGTGTGTGGCGCTGAGGGCCTGTCTCTGGCATTCCGCCACATTGTCAGCTCACTACTGTGGTACTGTTACCATCATACCTGTGAGGACCTGCTGCATGAGGTCATCGTCTGCGTGGGCTATTTCACTGTAAACCATCCTGACAATCAGGTAAGCGATAATTACAGAGCAGTAAAAGCTCAAAAGAAAAGAGCAACAACCTTCCCCATCAAGTGGTAAAATACCAGTTTTCCAAAAGATTGCTGTGGCAGTTTTAACTAGTTTGCTTCAATGAGCTAATTGTTTTGCTGTGATTTCTCCTTACATTTTTTTTTAAAATGTTCATAATTTCCTTAAGATGATTATTCTATTCTATAAAGAGATTGGAAAACAAAAAATCCCAACTCCTGTCAGGAACTTTTGCATAAACCCGAGGTTTCATCTTTACTTCTTTGGGAATATCTGTATTTATGCATGTTTTATGATTCAGAATATCCCAAAGTATGGTACATGAAGAATTTTCTATCAAAATATGGTGTCATTTAAACGCATGTTTCTCTTGCTTTGTTCTGAATAGCCATTTCATTGAATGGTGGAACAAACTTGATGGGCTGAATGGCCTACTACTGTTCCGACATCTTGTGGTCTTAAAAAGTTACTGAATATCATCACAGTGTGAATAATGGGACTTGATTAACACTAAGACTTCTGGCTATGCATCACTCTAGACCTTTATGTTATCAATGACATTAATTCAGTTTTTTGACACTTTAACCCCTCCCAGTTCTTGTGAGTACATTGTCAGAACAGCTGCAAAAACAGATATTCGAAGAAAACTGACAAGAAAATATGCATGTCAAAATTTTATCACCATTCTTTTGAGATGTTTCACTTTTATGCACATATGTTGATGAAACCTCTTTGTAATTGAACTTTTATTTATAATTGAACTTTTATTTATAATTTACTTGCTAATAAAGGTAGACATATCAAAAATGGAAAATATACTTTATAAAATGTACAATAAACATTGCTTTAAATATAAAAGATTACAATGGCATATTATTGGGAAACTTATTAAAAAGGGTCTAAAGAATGAATTATCTATTTGCTGAAACTGATCCCTGTTCAACTGTAGTTCAGAGGTAGTGAGCTCACACCAAGATCCTTGACTTAAAAAAACATGTAAAACAGAAAATAACAGTTCTGACAAAGAAAGCATGATTTTGTTTCCTTGCGTATGAAGGTGGAAGGTATGCCTATTATGTTTTCTTTTCTCCTGGTGCATATTAGCAGGACTTTTCTTTTTAAAATGATGTTCAGAGATTGGGTGAATTTGCTAACCTGGTTTACGTTAACTTGCAAGAGCAGGACAAGGAGAATACATTCAAGCTAGTAAAGAGCTTAGATTTTTGGAACAATATGTGAAAATTCTTCTTCATTCAGTGAATGACAACGCAGAGCAGAGACTTCCAAGAATAGGAGTTGCAATGACAATCCTGAAATCCTTTCAAGAATATTAGGTGCAAGAATGAATGAGCTGTATGATCTTAATAAAACAAAGGACTCAGCAGGTCTGGCAGCATCTGTGTAGAGAAAGCAGGGTTAATGATTTGGGAACAGTGAGCCTTCTTCAGAACAAAGTTCTAAAAAAGAGTCATAGAATCCTCCCCTGCAGTGTGGAAGGAGGCCATTCAGCCTATTGAGTCTGCACTGACTGTCTGAAGAGCATCCAACCTAGCCCATAACTTTACTTTTTACATTGGCGTAATTGTGTTTGTACTGTGGGAGGAAACCCATGCAGACCCTGGGAGAGCATGCAAACTCCACACAGACTGGACTCTACACAGAGTCCCCTCACTTGGATCCAAAACGTTAACTCTACTTTGTCTCAACACATGCTGCCAGACCTGCTAAGTTTCTCTAGCGATTTCTGATTTTGTTTGACTTTGGGATCTTCCCTGCTTGGATGTAGTAAGATGGAGCAAATGACTGAATTTATCTCTGATTGTGTTGTATTGGATTGGATGTCATTTTTATTGTGTGGAGTTTTCTCTAGACTTCTAAGGTTTCTTTTCAGTTGGACAAATATCCACGTAATGTATGGTTTGCGTCATCTAGATTAAAGGTATATAAGAAAATGGAAGGTCGTGGCTTAGTCGTAAAGTCACTGGACAATTAATACACTGGGGACATTAATTTCAAATCCCACAATTGCAGATGATAAAATTTGAACTCTATATAATGTCTGGAATTTAAAAACATCCAGCCTAATATTGACTATGTAACCATTATTGGTTATTATATAAACCTGTTTAACTCATTATTGTCTCGCCTAGTCTGGCCCACACATGACTCCAGACCCACTGCAAAGTGGTTGACTCTTAAATGCCCTCTCATTATTAGGGATGGGCAATAAATGCAGACCCAGCTAGTGATAGCCATATCCAATGAACAAAATTCAAAAAGACTGTGTTAAACAATGACATGAAGCCTTTTTTTATTTCCAACCTACTCAAGATAAACGCGTCTTTGCCTGTACTGTGTAACTCCCCAATAGTCGCTTTGTGTCTTTCTGGACACTGATGAATATAAACTTTCATCAACATTCCAGCCAGCAGATTGACTCTGGATGCAAATCTTAGTTTGCATGGGTCAGCGATCTTTTGACATCCGAATCTTTAGTCCATGTCCCCTCAAGTGGTTCAAGTCATCCCTTGAACTCAGTGACACCCATTCTATCACCTATTCTTTATTTTATTATTATGGCACACTCCTGTAAAGAGTTTAACAGGTTTTATGCATTTTTACCTTTCCATTTAAGGTATTGTGCACCTCCGTTTTGAGTGCTTAAAACAAGCTGTATACTGGAGGCATTAGTGCATGGAAAACCACAACAAAGGAAATCTACCTACAGAGTTTGAAAATGGTATTAATATTATCTAACTCCAATCATAGAAACCCAACAGTGTGGAAGCAGACCATTGAGTTCACACTGACCTCTGAAGAACATCCCACCCAGACCCACCCACTACTCTATCCCTATAACCCTGCATCTCACATGGTTAATCCACCTAGCCTGCACATACCTGGACATTATGGGAAATTTAGCATGGCCAATCCACCTAACCTGCACATCTTTGGACTGTGGAAGGAAACCAGGGCACCTGGAGGAAACCCACACAAACAGGAGGAAAATGCAAACTCCACACAAATGGTCGCCCAAGTGTGAAATCAAACCTGGAGCTGTGAGGCAGCAGTGCTAACCACTGTGCCGCCCAAATGGCATGTATATATTGCTCTTACGGCTCAGGGAGTGCAGTATTGAGGTGGAGGCTGATGTTAGGTAAGCCATTTCATGTTGTGCGGGGTCATCGGTCCTGACATGGTTAGCTGCTGTCCCAAAAGATTGGAGGCATATTTTTTGCTTTGTTTTCAACGCAGTTCAAAAAGAATTGTACATTTTGGACTGCCTGTTTGTAACACCATTGAGCAACCCACAATGCCCCAGGCCCTGCTCAAGCATAAGCTCAGCAGTGGTGATGTTCACAGTTGATTGTATGACCTACAGTACAGTTGCCACTGAAGTAGTCTGTCTGCACACAGCAAGACCAAGACAGCGCTCAGACTTGGCATGATAGGTGACAAGTGACATTTATGCAATCAAAGTTTCATAAGTAACATTGAGAAGAATGACCAGATATTCTTCTTTCTGGTTAATATTTGTTGAGGGTTAGATGTTGGTCAGGCCACTAGAAGAATTCTACATTCTCCATCTTATAAAGAGTACAGGGGATCTTTGTCTACTCAAGAGGACAGAAAGGACCTTCATCTAATATTTCGCGCAATGTTCTTTGAAGAGCAGTTGCCCAGGTTTCTGGCATCTTCTCACTTAAATAGTCCTACAGCATGGAAACAGGCCCTTTGACCCAACTCTTGTAATGAGAATTGTTGCCCACTAATCAAAATTGGAGACTAGACTATGACAATCATGTTTTGTTATAGATCCCATTATTATAAGCAGCCATTATTGTAAGGACAATTTTAAATGAGCTGTTGATCAATTGCTGTCAGCTTTGTGCATCAGCAGAGCATTTTTTAATTTATTCATGGGATGTGAGCATCTCTGGCTAGGCAGTATTTATGCCCATCCCCATTAGGGGCAGTTAAGAGTCAACCACATTACTGTGGGTCTGGAATCACATGTAGGCCAGACCGGGTAAGGACTGCAGTTTCCGGCTTTAAAGAGCATTAGTGAACCAGATGTGTTTTTCCTGACAGTTGAGAATGGTTTCATAGTCATCATTAGACTCCTTATTCAAGATTTTTATTGAATTCAAATTCCACCATTGCCTTAGTGGGATTTGAACCCAGGTCCTCAGAACAATACCTGGGTCTCTGGGCTAACAGTCCAGCAACAATACCACTAGGCGATCATCTCCCCTGTTTCTTGACGGGCTAATGACAAAAACAAATTGGTGGAAATGCCCTTTTTCTTAAAAATTACCTAACCCCAAATAAATATCTTGCGTGTTAATACAGTGGAGTCTCAGTTAGGGTGGAAATTGGGATGAGATAAAACTTGGTTTGCCTCATCTTCAGGTTCTGGTGTTGCAATGGCTTTCAATGAAATTTAAGAAATTCCATATGTGCGACAGTCAAATCCAGTACTTGACAAAAGAAGTAATAATACAACTGAAGTCAAATCTCTACAAGCACAAGTATTCTGCTACATGAGGTTAAACTTCTTAAAAAAAAATTATATATTTTCCTACTTAAAGTGAGCAGATCCCTCTTACCACTCAGATGTTGGAAATTGCCAATGAATTCACAGCCTCATTTAATGTCTAATTTCTATTTAGATTATGTGCTGTTTCCAGCAGATTGTTAATTATATATCAATTGGATGTTAATTGTATTCAGTTGTAGGCTGTTATTTGGGGACTCACCTTTGTTTTTGTTGCTGTAAGCTGAGGTCTTGTGACCCAGAGGTAGGGTCCCAACCTCTGGGCCAGAAAATAGCAAGAATTGCAGATGCTGGAGTCAGACGCAATACAGTGCGGAGCTGGAGGAACACAGCAGGCCAGGCAGCATCAGAGGAGCAGGAAAATTGAAGTTTCGGTTTGGGACCCTTCTTCAGAAATAGGGAGGGGGAAGGGAGATGGGAAATA